CAGCATTGGAAAGGACATTAGAAGTCTTCTAGTCTAATCCGATGCTCAGGCAGAAAACCCTATACCATTTCAGACAAATCGTTGTCCAGTCTTTTCTTAAAAACTTCCAGGGTTGGAGCATTCACAATTTCTGGAGGCAAGTTTTTCCACTGATGAATTGTTCTCGGTGTCTGGAAATTTCTCCTTAGTTCTAGATTGCTTCTCTCCTTGATTGGTTTCCATCCATTGCTTCTTGTCCTGCTTTGGAGGTGCTTAGGAGAACAGATTGACTCCCTTTTCTTTATGGCAATTTCCTAATTTAACAGAAATTTCGATACAAGCTACCACAAGAATGATCTATTGGAGATGTGCAGTTGTTGGAAACAGGGAAAGAACTCAGGATAGATAAGTTGTTCTTCTAGTCACAGGACAAGAGGTAGCAATTCTGCAGGCAATCCAATGTAAAATCCTAAAAGAACAATATCACTATTGCACGGCATTGTTTTTACACATAAATATTCTACCTTAAGTCCTCTAGATTGGATGGCAAAACAAAAAGATCTGGTTCCAACCTGCTTCATTACACTTGTATATTTAATCTATCCAAAGTGAGCAGATTTATCCTTGTTATTTTATGAAAGAGATAGTAAAAATTAGATTTTCAAAAGGATTACTGTGATAGATTTCTATACTGTTGCTTAAGTAGATGTCTACATTGTTCCTTAGCTGCTGCTTCCAAATGAGTTCATAATTTATATTTTCATGAAGCAGAAATGTAGGATTCATGCAGGATTCACTCTCAGTTCATTTTTTTTTAAATCTAGGAAAATGCTAGAAATTCCACTAGTAGCTTTAAACAGCAAGCGGGAGAGAACTAACCTGGACTCCTGTGTCAAGTACTTCTGGAAATTTCACAGAGATTGACTAGCCCAAGGTTGTCTGAAATACTTTTTGTAGTAGAGTGAGAAATTGAACCTGGATCTTCTGACACTCACTCCAACATCGCTGGTATTAATGGTTTCAATTTTTTCGATATATAAGAAAGATTGCATTGAAGATTGAGGTGAAAATGTCTAGTCTGAGAAACAGTCGGGGGTCCCTATTAACTTTGCATATAATGGGAGATGCAGTCCTACTGATATGTGAGGATTTACATTTCTGTGCTATTAATATAAATAAGAGATACTGTTTATGCATAAATGCTCTGATATTAAAGAGGAAATGTAGTCCAGAGCCTGGCTTTGAGAAGATGCATTTTTAAAAGTTGAGGAAAGAAAACTGGCTGCATTACCTCTCATTTAATAGCTTTTCAGCACATTCTCAGCCAATATGCTGCTTAAAAATACTTTGACTTTTAAGTAATGAGAAAGGATAATATCAGGAATAAATGAACACACTAACATGTCCAGAATGTTAACATTACATGATCCTGTCATGAGATTCGGCACTGATTATACTCTATAGTATTCTTTTCCTATGAAACACTGAATCAAGTTCTCCTTTTAATATTTTGGTATCTATCCAGGGTGCTATTAAGTGTTCTTATGGCAGCTTCTTTTAATCTTAGCCAAATTTCTCATTATTACATGATTTCATTTTCTAGGATTTAAATGCTTTTTGTGAGTCACTATTAAGTGCATTTTTCTATTTTCTATTTATTTATAGAATTGCTGCATTAGAGCAAGATAGTGCTCCTAAATAGTACAACTCCTAGCACTGTCACATGTATTGATTTGTGTAGCCCAAAGTCCCCTTGGTACTACTTGGTACTTTTCTATGTGGGCTTGGGGATGGTGACCTCTGGTGTACATTACAGTATTTCTATAGTCTGTGACAGTCTAGAAAATGCCTTGATGGGCTCAGGTTGACCATCTCTGGCAAATGTTGTAAGGTTCCCCATAATCTACACCAGAATCACTCACCCTGAGAAATGCCTCAGTAAATGATGCAGGAGGAGGCTCTTGCATCACTCACTGTAGAAAGCTCCTCTTAGCCTTATTCTAAGATACAATAAGCTTAGAGAACATCCTGAAGTTGACCAAAGGGAAGCAAAATTGTGCAAGGCAATGAATGTCCTAAACATGCTTTTTTTTCAAAAGGCAATTGGTCTTTCTTGTTTTTTTTTGTCCTTGAAAATGTTTCACTTCTCAACCAAGAAGCTTCTTCAGTTCTGAAAAGTCCAGAACTGAAGAAGCTTCTTGGATGAGAAGTGAAACATTTTTAAGGACAAAAAAAACAAGAAAGTCCAGTTGCCTTTTCAAAAAGCACCTTTGGGACAATCATGACCTGAACGTTTGAGAATTTCTATAGATAAGGCAACAAATGCTTTGTTCAGTTCTTTCTCTAAATATTGATACAGTTTCATATAGCTCTATTATAGTTTAATGTGTTTTCATTGCATTATTAATTCAATCCAACTTGTATCTGTATGGAGTTGAAATGGAAATTCAGTTCTATGTACCAATATTTCAGATACTATTTTTTATCAAGTGAACCTTGCTTATGGCAAGGTGAATAAAACAAAGTGGCAACTCTTTCTTGATGAGCCTTCTCCAGACTGATACTGTTCTATGTTTTTAATCAATTCTGATATCCCCAAGCAGCATGAAGTGGTCATAATGGCTGCATAAGTGGGTGCATATTGGGTAGGCATCAGACTATAAAAACTGGAACAAGAAAGATTCCTAAATGTTGAAGATAATATTCAGTCACTCTCGATCCAAAGTATATATCTCAGATCAAAAGTCTTTTTAAAACTTTTCTATTTTTCATCTATTGCTTCTCATAACATCCTTTATGGTAGAACACTTCTGTACAGTTCTGACAATTTAAATACCCACTTTTCAATGGTAAGACATGCCAATGTATTTTAGGGTTCCCCCCTCATAAAATAAAATAGATGCAATGGTGCCTTTTGGAAAGCATAATTTGTAAATTATTTCTTTGAGAAGGGTTGGTTATATAAAGAATGCAACTTTAAGTAGCCATTTCAGGACTCTCTGCTTGTAGCAGAATTAGATATTCAAGCTTTTTTTTTGAGCCTCATTAGTTGAACTCATAAAACCACATGGAATGATAGTCTCAATTTATTCTTAGCTTTCCAAAACCAATAAGACAATTACAGCTACTTTCCCAGAAAGGGAAGGAAATGCAGAATTTTAACTTATCTGGAAAAATGAGTTCTTTTCTGCTTGCTAAAAACTTGGTCTCTTGAGTCAGGATGGCCTTTTTTCCCAAAGCTGTGCCATTTTCTATCATCTCTTTCATTAAAATCTACATGAAAGAATGAGGTGGGTGATTTACTCATTTCTTCAGTTGATTTAAGACTAAAATACACACTATGTTATATATGTTCAACATACAAAAGCTGTGTCAAACATTCCAGGCAAAATAAACTACATATGATATATTCATAATTCCTGTTCTTTGGTGCAAGAACCCCTTTGCCTTTTACTCTCAATTTTGAAGTTAGCTGGATATGTAAAAATAATCACTATCACTGATTTTATTAACTGACTTCCCTAGCATTTCCCTTTCTAATCTCTCCCCATTGCTTGTTTTTTAGATGGGTTTCAGTTGGAGAAAGGAAAATTCATGTCCTGTTTAGCTACATGTATTTATCACTGAGGCACTTGAGAGTAATATTCTAAGTTGTTGTATTATTATTTTTAAAGCCAGAAATACAGATGTTGATCAATTGTTTTCAAGCATTTTCTCAAGCTTGATGGTGACAATTTAATACCATTACATGGAACGATTATGAGTGCCAATATGTTGAAAAAGAATACCTCCAAGAAAATATTTTCAACAACTGCCTAAAAAGTGTGACAAGCAAGACTTTGTTTCATTATATAGCTTAAATAATGCCAGTTCCCTATACACTCACAGCCATGTGAAAAGTCTGAATATGCCTATTGCTTTGGAGGAGACTTCTTCTTTACATGTACAGTAGGTCACAACAGGAGGGTGAAGGGCTTTATTTTCTCTTATCTAATTAATGGATGGTGGTACTAACTGGCTGGGTATATTTCAAAATGATGGAAACAAGTATACTTTCCACCATTTAAGAAAGATGCTAAACTAATCCCATGTAATTAGTGTCCAACATTTTTAATAGTCCTTTTCTCTGTCCTGATCCTCCAATTTCATTGGATGACCTCTGGTGATGCCATAGTATTTGGGGAAGGGGAAAATAAATTCTTGTCCAGTTTATCCACAATATGCATAATTTTGTACACCTCAGTCATGTTCCTTCTTATCTGCCTCCTTTCTAGATTAAAAAGTCCCAAGTATCATAACCTTTCTTCGTAGTGAAGTTACTCCAGCTCTTTGACCATCTCATCGCCATCCTCTGAATCTTCTCCAGTTCTACTTCATATCACTATTACATGAGCTATTTGAAATTCAAATGCTAAATTTCTTATAGGGCAGTTTTGTGAATTAGATTACTTCGGTCTAAACTGGAAGCAGATGTGTATTTAGAAAGTAATGATTTATCATTTTAAACTATCAATGCAAAATCAGAACAGCATCACAAAAGAGTTTTTCACATAGCTGAAGAAATCTCTATGCCATCTTATTATGTTTCCTAAGTTTAGCACTGTTAAGTATAAACAAATCTGGATGTATGGTTCAGACTCTACAAAGACTGTAATATATAATGCACACTTGTTCAGCTTTGGGAATCTTGTCTATTTATATAATAAATTACACCTGGCTGCAGTTTGGCAAAGAAAATGGAAAGAGGAAGTTTGCAGGATGAAACAATATGTTGAGTGGAAAAATTTTTTCCAACATCTTTTCAAAGATAAACACTCACTAATTCTTAATAAACCATTTCAAATGAAACTGTTGAGTTTGTTTACTTACTATTCATGTACTGGTTCCACCTTTTAATTTTTTTTTAATCTGGAAAACACATATTTGTGCATATTTTAAATAATGAAGAAAATGAAAGCTGAATAATTAACCATAAGTATTTATGGAATTGTATTAAATATATATTTATACTTTTTATTTAGGGATACAGAATACAAAGGACTTCAACTCTCCCTCGATCAGGTTTCGGCTACAAAACCAGCCTACTCATATGCAAACTCAATTCCAACTATAACTGACAACAGAAAAGGAAGCAAATCACGTCTCTCTGGCACAAAGTCCAAATCTAGGACATCACCTTATCCACAGGTAAGAGCGACTTGATTTAATATGCTAAAAAAGATTCTTGAGTTTCTTTTTGAAATGTTTTGCAATGAAGTATAACTGTATAATTGCTGATAGAGGTTTAATCTATGTTATTACTGGGCAACATATTTGCACTGAGGGAATGTCCAAGGAAATGTAAACAGCATCAGGATTTTAATTACAACATATGTAATGCCAGAAGTGATTTCATATTAATTTGAAGACATGCCACAGATCTTGTAACAAAAAAAAATTGCAAATACCACATATATAGAATGTAGTTAAAGAAAAAATTCAAAGTTATATTGGATCTCTATAGGAAATTCTAGGCTTTTGTGCTTTCACCTATGCAATTCACAAGATTCCATTCAATCTAAATTGGCATTCTGTGACTTCAATCATATTGTTGTCAATCCTGAATTGGTCTTCCCTAATTTAATATCTCTAGATATATTGCTCAATTCTCACTAATCCCAGCAAGTATAAACAGTAACTATGCTGCTTGGACACAATGGGAATTGTAGTCCAACTTATATGGAGGGATACAAGTTTAGTAAAAGGTGAGGGATACCTGGAATAAAAATGGAAACACTAAGTTCAAGAGAAAGAACTAAAATATATACAGAAATGTTCAGTAATTCATGAGTTTGCTTTTCAAGTTCTGGTGCAGCCTTAATTTGGGTATGTTATAAAATTATATAACTTTGACACTAGTGGTAGCCCTATTCATATCAGGCCATCCTTACTTTCATAAATATCATATGCCTACATAATTTTGATTATTTGCTTTGAATGAGATTCCTGGATTGATTTTTTTTATGATCTGTTTTTTTGGTTATCCAGTGCATTAAGAGTCTTCTCCAATGCTAAGTTTACAAGTGTCAATATTCTTTCTAAACTGCTTCTTCAAAGTCCAACTTTCACTTCCTTAGAATGTCACAGATAACTGTAGGTATAGAAATGTCACAGCATCTTATCCATGTTCTTAACTATTACAGTATTCTGCCAAGTGCTGATTTGTAGCATATTTCTTGAGTGCTAGTTCTTTTACAGTTGACTGATTCTAAAGGCAGGAACTATCCACCATTTCATTGCCGTGATATATCTCTGTTTGCATATTTTGTTCTTCTTTATATATAATCTTAATCCCATTTTCCCCATTTTTTTGCTTACTGATTTTTCCTCATTAGAGCTTGCAGTTTATTTGCATTTTCATCTATCAGTATGTCATAAGTATGGTGCAAGTTATTGGTATTTCTCCCTTAAATTTTAAAACCGCATTTTTGCAGTTTTAAATATTGAGTCTCTCTTAATATTGTCAAACAGCAACCAGTCATTTTGCCAGGTTTTAAATTTTTTTTGTGGCCTCCTGTGTTAGATTTTGTAAGAGCGCAATAAATTGTTCTGAATTCCTATTTTCCTAAGAGCATTCTCTAGCTTGCCATGGTTGGAATAATCAAATAATTTTCTGTAATCAATGAAGTGCATACTGATTTCATATTATTATTGTTTGGCTTTCTCAAATGCCCAATATATATCAGCAATAATGTCTCTTGTTCCTCAGCTTTTTCTAAAGCCAACTTGAACAACTGGCATCCCCTTTCAATGTAGACTGTTGGATGATCTAATCAATCTTTTTCTAGGCTGTAAGCCTACATAATTATTAATATTCATTGCAGCATTGTGTTACAATTGATAGTGTTAGTATTTCTTTTTAACTTGAAGGCACAGAAGGTACTCAGCTCAAAACTACATTGTAGCATTTTTCTAGAGCCATGTACTAATTATTACCATCACTGTCATCAAATCAAACTTCTACTTTTCTAAGGACAATCATGGTAAAAGAACGCAGTGCAACAAACCTAATCTACTATAAACCTATCATTTCTTTGTTTATGTGGATTGTCATTCTTTGTAAGGGCCCTTAAAAAAACTCCCAAGTATATACATTAATGAATACTTTCTGAAGTAAGCAAAGGGATGTTAATCCATATTCTCAAACACTGATATAGGTCATTTTCTTACAGCAGGTGTGGGGAATTATGGCTGTGTTATGACTTGTGGAGTTCAACTCCATGAATTCCTGAACCAGCCCTGCTGGCTCAGGAATTCTAAGAGTGGAAGTCCACAAATCATAAAGGGGCCATAGTCCCCCACCTCTGGCTTACAGCATGGAATATATTTTCTTCCTTTGAAAAGTGTTGGAAAATAGCACAAGTTTTTATTTATTTATTATGAAGTGAAAAGACACCAAAGATGAGAAAATGTTATCCTAACATTTTTTTTTTAATTGACACCCTATCCCTGTCAACTCATAAAATATTTCTATGGTCTTTTTAGAGTTGCCAACAGAAAGGGAGGGGGGAGCAGTGAGGCAGCTTGCAAACCGAAAGTGCATTCTGTAAATGTTTTCAAAGATAGTAACTAGGTGACTGAAGTTTCTGCCACACAAATCCTGACAATCCCCAACAAAATCAACCCTATCCATAAACAAAAGTTTCAGGCAGAACCTAAATATTATTTAATTCAATTGATGGAACTTGGCTTCTTTCTGTTTAATAAGATGTAACTATGGTAAAATGTTTATTACTGGGCTACATATCATTGTCCTATCCTTACACAGGTACCAAATAAATTTTGATCTCATTTATTCTAAATTCCTGAAATCTTATTTATTCTACACAGAGTAATAGAAAAATAAAAATAATAAGAAGCATTGCTTACCATGGCCTCCTGAGTTTTAATTTTTATTGTAATGATCACATCATAAAAAGTACAATTTCTATAGTAAAACATTTGGTTTGCATTAGCTTCAACCTATTGAGCTACATTTATAATTCAAGTTTATCACTTTTATTAAAACTTGGTTTAGTTGCAGTTTTGAGTGTTGTTTGCATGAATAAAACTTCAAGTTTATCAAGGACAATTACTGCACTAGTTATAACTATCACTAAAATAATGTGTTTGCTTTTTAATGGCTATTGATATGTAATTAATACTGAAAGTTTGTTTTTATTTCAGTCATTTTTGTTAGTAGCAGAGAACATAAATATTTTAAATAAAAGCAAATCATACCAACTCATGTTTCCTTAATGATATATTGTCTATTTTATTCAATCTAGTAATTAAATTACATAGATTGAACGAAATATTTAATGTATTAGTTAGAATATTATTCATCAAACTTTGCAAATTTGAAAGTGAAAGGAAACTTTTAAAAGTTCTAAAGTAGATTCAGAACTGGTACACAATCACCATTAGTAGAGGTTATTTTAATGGTTATGCTGCATTACTTTAACCGAAGCCTTCCACCATCTGTTCTGCCTATAACAGAAGACCATACTTTATATTTCAGGGTTAGATTAGTTAAAAAGGCAAGATAAAAGTGATTTAAAAGCACATATGTTCTGTGTGTAAAGTAGATTGCATCTGTGATCTCCTACTTGTTTAATCAAGAGGAAAGTTGCAGATGCCCAGTGCAACAGAAGTTTTTGATTGGCTGGAAAGATTTTGGTATAAAAGGATTCTCTTTGCATAACCAGACATGTTTTGGGAGGTGAGATAAAGACTGATAACTGTTTATCTATCAAAAGCTGTAGGAGTAGCAACAGATAGTACAAATTTCACAATCAGTGAACACCAATATCTGAAATAGGCTGGTGCTCAGTAGCTTAATAGAATCTGACATAGTTGACAGTTAGCTAGTTAACTATCTAAGCTAAAAATCTCCTGCATGCCATCTATTTTTTCAAGTCTTTCTTCATTAACCTACACATTATATCCTTAATTATCAATTTATATAGTCACCCATCACACTAATATGATGCTGGGCAATGTGCAACAAAACAATTAAAACAAATCTTAAATAATCATTAAAACAATTACTGAAAACTATAAATAAAACCACAGGAGAATGTACCAAAATCCCACATATAATACAATAATCTAGCAGGCTGCCTATCACTATGAGGTCCCCAAACCTGCTAAAAAGAACCAATTGAAGAATTTTCTGGAAGAACAATAGCATCGGGGCTAATGTAGCACACAGAGCCAATTACATACCTCTCATGCTGGACTTGATGGGACAGATACGGGTAGATGTAATTGGGAGAGGCAATCCTTCAATTAATCTTGGTCCATGTCATTTAAAACTTTAAAAGTTAGAACCAGGACCTTGAAACTTGGGGAAAAACTGGCAACCAGTACAGTTCACTGAACAGAAGTTTAACATGTACCATTCTAGGGACATACATAACTGCTCATGTCACTGCATGTTGCTTCAGATGAAGCTTCCTAGGCTTCCATGTCACTGCATGTTGCTTCAGATGAAGCTTCAGATGAAGCCTCCTGCCCTTCCTTTTCAAGGGCAACATTATGTGGAGGAGTGGTGGTATGCTACCGGTTTGGACCGGTTTTGCTGAACCGGTAGTAAAAAAAAAAAAAAGCCTTCCACGATCAGCTTGAGAGGAGAAAAAAAAGCCTGGGATAATCAGCTGAGAGGAGAAAAAAGAGAAAAATGCAGGATCGGCCCTCCTACCCGACCCTGTGCTTTTCTCCTCTTTATCTTCTAAGCTGCAGGCTTCAGTTGGTGTGGGGAAAGTGCGTACATTAGGTGCACATGCATTATGTCCGCATGCATGCGTTCACGATCACCGAACCGGTAGTGGAACCGGTAGATCCCACTGCTGATGTGGAGTATGGTGGGAGGTGACAGGGCACAAGAAACTGTCTCAAAATTTGGAAAAGAGCCAATTTTCAGTAGTATCTGAAAAGCTAGAAGGGTAAGGGCCTGTCAAATCTCCGATAGGAGATCCACATGGCAGGGCTGCAATGGAAAAGACTCATTTCCAAGGAACCACAAGATGCAAGTTCCTTGGACTGCAAGGCAATCAAACAGGTCAGTTCTAGAGGAGATCAACCCTGACTGCTCTTTAGAAGGCCGGATCCTGAAGATGAAACTCAAATACTTTGGCCACCTAATGAGAAGGAAAGACTAACTGGAG